GATCAGGTTTGGTTATAACCCTAAGATCAATGAATCCGAGGTCACTTAAATCAAGATTTAATTCAGGTAGTAACTTCAATTTCCTCATCTCCAATTTGAAATTATCCACATTGCCATCAGAATTATTCAAAATTAAACCCGAATTATTCGGAGTCGTCTCCGTAATTAAATCAGAATCTTCCGATTTTAATTTCAGTGTGTTCACGATCAGGTCAGTTCCTTTCAAGATCATATTACTATCGTCTAGGCATACTTTGTCCAAAGACTTGGCTTCGAGGAGACTAGGGTCAGGGTGGGTTAAGGTGTCAACGTGTAAAGGTTCTAGCTTTCCTAGCTCAGGATTTAAGTCATTCTAGGAGTCTGATTCAATCACTTCTGTTTCATCCTCAAAGAAGTCTTCGTTATCCTTAATATCATTAGCATCCACGAAATGGATGCACTCAGTTTTAGGTTCAGAGGGCGTTTTCTTGTTAATGCATTTCTTTATTAAACTCACACTCGCAGGGTCAGGGACTGGGGAGGCTAAAGGTTGACTGGGATCGCTAGAAGTGGGTCCAAGTGGGGAGTCATAAGAGATTGATTTATAAGAAGACCCAATAGAGGATTGACCATTAAGGTTAGGTGAAGACCTACAGGGTGGGGCAGCAACCCTGGTGCTATTAAATGATGGTTGGTTTCGACTATAGTGATGTCCACGGTTTGTACCAACGAAAGAGGTAGGGTGATGCTCTAGACGACAGTCACTAGTAGAGGGTCGGTATTTCAAATTAAGTTCTCGTCTCATGTCTTTCCAAGTAAGGTACTCACCACGAGACTCTTTATGATCTTCCAATTTCATCCACAATTAAAGAGCCCGACCTTTTAGGTGAGACTTAGCGATGCTAACCTGGTGGGACTCAAGGATATGACATGATCCAAAATAGTCATCTAGTTGTCTAGCCCATTCCCTAAAGTAGTAAGGATCCGAGGAACCATCACAGGTGGGTAAACGGTAAGGTGACTCTAAGTGAGGTCGTTGAGGATTAGTCTCAGGTCTAGGTTGATAAGTAGAGAGGGGCATCTTCCAACTAGCATGACTGAGCGAATGGGGTACATACCTAGAGTGGGGGGAGTCAACATGTTCCTCCTTTGTGGTTTTAGTTAGAGAGCCTACAAGACTAACTAGGTCGTCTAACCTCTTTTGAAAACCTATCGAGTCCATTGGAAAGTGCTAAGTGATGCTTAAAGAAGAATGGGCGTAAAGGACATCATTTAGACACTAAGTTAGGCTCACTTAAACTCACTAAAGGATGCAAAAATTGTTTGGACAACAAGCTACACTAGTGGGTTAAGTAACCTAGGCACTTAGGAAGGTTGTTAGGTTGAGGACAACACCTAAACGCTTAAGAAACTAGCCTACAGTTCACTAGATGTGTGCAGGAATGAAGTGGACAGCAAACTACAACATCGCATAAAGTTTTCTAAGTGTTGTGGGCGATTAAACGGTGTAGACAACAACTTAAGATAGGTTCTAGGGTCACCTAAAGGCCACTAAAAGGTGCAGCAAATTTCTGGACAGCAATGCTTAGTCGTTGCCTAAGTTGTCTAGGTGTTTGGAAGGTCCCGAGGGAGTGGACAGCACCCAAACGACGACTAAAAGTTCACTAAACGATGGTTACAAGCTGCTGGAACAGTGAGGACAGCAGTCAAAATTCAAGGTTTAGTTGTCCTATGAATTTAGAAATGCTACAAATTCAATGGCAGCAATATGACGCTAGTTAGAATGACTTAAATGCTGATGAAAGTGTGCAGGAAATGCATGAACAGCAGTTAAAACAGTGAGTAACTTGAAACTACGCAATGATATGCATGCAATTTTAAAGCTAAAATGAACGGTTAGACTCTAGAATGTTTTTCTAACATGTCATGCATGCTTACCATGCTCTGATACTAAGATGATGTGAAACAAACATGGTGGAGTTACTTTCAGAAAATTAAAGAGAGCAGATTTAACAAAATAATCCAAAATAAAATTATCACGTATAGCAAAAGATTGATCCTTGGAGTTCTCAGTTTTTAACTTGCTTAGGCAAAGAAGAGCGAAGTCGGTTAACCAAACAATTTAAGAAAATGCCAAGATCAATTTTAAAACTACGACGGTAAACAAGAATCCGCAATTTAATAATGAGAACTTTCACCTTTGGAGCTCATACGCTCAACTAGTCTAGGCTTTAGCGGAAGAAGAGTCTCCACATTAGAACCGAGGTCACTCCGAGGAAGAAGGAGCCTAAGATCGTCGTCCTTGGATAGGTGGCCGGAGTGGTGGAGGATTGCGGTCGTCCAAGGATGATCCAACGTCCCTTTGATCTTTGCTCGTCGATCACATCCACTAAGGTGTAATGGATACGGTCGATGTAATCTTCAATAGTGTCGTCGAAATCGAAGCCCACGTCAAAGAACGGTGATTAGAGGATGTCAACTTGATCTTGATCGTCATGCACAAATCCAAAGTTCCATTCGGGTTCCGCCATGCATTCTTGTCGGGAGTTGATGGAGCATCCGAGATAAGAGGGGAATTTGGTTATGGTGGGGGTCCAAATGGTATAGTGCAGGAATTTTGAGTTAATTTCAGAATTTGGGAGGTTTAATGGTGGGATTTAATTTGAAATTCAAATTAAATCAAGGAGGGGAGGGGGCGGTAAGGAGAGGGGGATTTGGGCTGAATTTGTGGAGCTACTAAGGTGATTAGGAGAGAGAGAGGAGGACATTAAGGGGGCCGGCCATGTAGGAGGTGAGGTGGCTTGGAGGTTTTGAGTGGGTGGGGACCACTAGTCTTAATTTCAGAATTTTAATAAAATCTGAAATAAAAACTTCAGTTTTTATTTGGGAAGAGATTCCTAAATTAAAGACATTCAATTAGATTGATTTCGAATTTCAAATTCGAAATTTAAAATCCAATTAAATTGAGGGCATGATTTAGGGAAGCAATTTAGGAAACAATTAATGGCTCATAAC